TACAAATTTTGCACGTTGCAATTCATTGGTCGATGGGTATTCTATTTTTCTTTCATCTAAAATACTAAGATAGCGCGCGTTTCATTAATAATATAATGAGCAACGGGTGTTTGATAAATTTGTATTGATACAGTGGCAATGCAATAAATTGCTGTAATCAGTGTGAGGCAGAAAGACGTATATTATGTAGTAGTTTCGGCGAGCCTATAGGACGTTTTTTCTCTCGTTTTTCTATTCGTATAATTTTCGAATGTTTTTTTTGTTTATTAACAGTATAACCTAATTAATCTATAATTATATCGATGTATGTTCTATCTATACCAAAAATACATATAAAGCGTGTCAGTGATTTCATTTCATTTTAATACATTTATGTCTTATTAGGAATGTTTCATTATGTACGCCTAGTACCTTAAATAAATCTACGTCGGCAACATTTGCGTCGAACGCGAGGTACATTACGTAGATGCGGTACGACTGACGGGAGAAACACTTAGAGAGTCGGCGCGTGGCCACCGCGAGCGTTACTCTGCAGATGGCCGGTTGCGGGAACACGCAAGAAAACGCCGAGACGGATGCGTGACGCAGCGCGCAGGACCGGCGCCCCGCACCGCGGTGCGTGCACACCGCCCCTCGGTCGCGCGGCACGCTCGGTGAGAAAAAAAAAACATCGATATCTGCGTGGCGTAGGCCTGCAGCGTGTTAGCAGGTGGCCGGGCGTTGCGTGCAGCGTTGCGGTGCGGTCGTGAGCCGTGGTGCCGGTGCAGGCGGTGCGTGGAGCCGCGTGGTGAGCGCGGCGCCGCGGCCCGGGCGGCAGTCGCTCGCAGCAGGCGGCCGACGCAGGTCGCCCCGCGCTCTGACGACCGCCCGCGCTGCGTTTGTGTAACCGCGATCGGGTGCACCCCTCCCACACCCGCTGCAACAGCACTAGCGCAATAGTCGGCTTGCACACATGCACTTTTCATTCATACCGTTCGCGAACGCCGCCCGCAGTCGCCCCGTTCCCGGCGCCGTCTTATCAATCGTTCGTACTCCTTTATGAGGCAGTGACCCTGAGGCTGAAGAAACTTAATGTGGGCTTGTCGAAGTGTTCTCGTAAAGCTGGTAAGAGGGATGTTTTCTTTAATGTATCTAAAGCATTTTTTTTAATTTTGTATCTTTGACAACGTATGTCATGAAATGAAATGAAAGTGAAATATTTATTGCGAAATAAACATGAAATTTAAATTACAGGGGCGTAGAAATGAGTTTGAAGAAATAATAATCTAGATACATTTTTCATAGATACTAAGAATGTATTGCGTTTTATCTTATAGGAGTTGTCATGAGGGAGAAAAGACCAATAGTACTGGCGACATGCCAAACGCCGACTGCGCGCATCTTTTAGTTACAAATATTTTAGAAATATTAGAGACATTCTTAGTCATTCAAATTTGTGACATACCAACGCTCTCGTTCTGAAGAAAGTCGAAACTAACCATTTAGTCTGATCATCTTCAGTCTATTTTTTATGTGCGCCATTCGATAATCATAAAATCGTACGAGCATCGTCTCTTATTCAATACAATAAATTATGCTACCTCTTACTTAGTATCACTTCGATGATATATAAAAATTTATGTATGTATACATCAAATATAGGGCATGGTTGGTGTAGCTTTATACAACGCAAAAGCTTATTTGAAAAGAATTCAGAAAATACAGGTACTTCGCTGATATCTGCTACGAAGTTCCACAATTTTCCTTCGTAAAATACTCGCCCCTCGGTGGGACATATTATGTATAACTCATTCTCCTAAACCATTTATAAATTTCACTATCGGGCAACTTCAACTATAATCGTAATTATGATGCCTATTATTTATATAGATTAACGTAGTTTTACGACGTACGTAAAATAATGTGATTCATATGTAGGAAAAAAGAAAATGCGTATAGCGTAATAATTTTTATGAAACTGTTCAACAGAGTCAACATTGAACGTACTTTTAATTATTAGATAATTGCACTTTTCATTATTTATATGTGGAGCGGTTTTTCGCTGAAGCACACACTGAGGGGGTAGAAAGTCGTTAAAGACTTACTTTTTCATTATTTTCTACGTTTGAAATAATGCTTAATAATAGGCGCCATAGTTGCCTTTCTTAGAAGAACAATGCTTTAACGAAGAAACCGCATTCTTTAATGAGACCGCAAACACAGCAACCGGGTGCGTTAAACATAAATAAAGCTATAAACAATTTTGCATACGACCGTGGCTTTATCTCGTTGCGGTCCTTGGTAGTCTTTGATATTTGATATCAAGCTACATCATGTATTTTTTTCCAAGGCTATCTAAATAACCCATTTTATTTCTTTGTCCACACAGGATTATAGGTGATATGGATGGATTATGTTAATGGCGATGTTGCTATTGGAAAACTATGCGAAAATGAGCAATTTGTTACATCAACGTTAAAACGAGGGGAATGACCAAATAATTGTTATCATCTATATTTTTCATATAATTAATTGTTATGACGAATAAAGCAATTCGTGACTGAGATTCACGTATTATGCACCTTGAGTATTTGTTCTGTAGACTTACCGGTTTAAGAAAGACAGAGCATTATAATATACCATTAAAAAAGGTTTTAAAAGAAAACAAATGTCTTTAACTGTACTAGGTATATTTTCAACTTTATTTGTTATTTTGGTCTGTATAGAATATTATATAATATTGAGTCTTCGTATCATATGTAACTGGCAAGGACCTACAGCGGTCACCATTTATAAAGTAACTTGGGGTTTTTTTCACAAAAATTCACAAGAAAATCGAGCCCAGGGATCCAGGGTGATCCCTGGGCTCGATTTTCCACGGGGTCAAACGGTCGATAAACGGGAGACTCCACTTTACGCCAGTTTTTGCATAGTAACTTGCGAAGTGGAAATCAAGAAGTTGGCCTGCATATAAAACCTTTAGTTGGTTATGTACATTTACTGTAATCTTTGCATGCCTACAATTAATTAGTTTGAAAGTATGTTGGTGTATCGGGAGCAAGCATCTTTAATCTCATGAAACGGCATTGAAATTATCTCTGAAACGATATTATAACGTGTAATGATAATATTATTAAACATATTTATTTTTGATAAATCTTCGTCTTTGTAATTATACACTCGGAATAAAGTTATTCATGAAATAAATTTTACGAATTCCATAAAATTCTGTTAATAAATACTTAGAAGTAATCATGAAAAATATTCAAGTTGAGGAAATACGGAATAAGACATTCTTCACGTACTTTAGGAAAAATGAGAATTTCCATTGGGCAATGAACGAGAAGTTATACTTTTTAACAATAAAAAAGTGTTCGTTTCGATACTGGTGACTCAAATAAAGCTCTGTGAATTATTCATTCATTAAAGAGAATTTGTAATTTGCGATTCCATTTAATTTGTTCACGCCATATTTCTCGGAGTAACTGAAAATTTTACGAATACCTTGAAACACAATTGAAAATTATTGATTACAATTTAATTTGTTGTTATATTTGTTGGCGTTTGGATCTCTATCGGGGAAAGTAATGGGATTGCCAAATTGTCATTTCTGTTGTTTCGCTGACGTTTGAGGCAATTTGTGAGCTTCCCAGGAGATGCAATTTCCCCTAGCGCATAATTGCTCCCTAGGCTTTCCGCTATTGCTACGCCTGAACAATTGACTTTCGGCTGAGTCGTGTTACTTGAGCGAGGTTTTGCGTTGTGGTGAGCGAGTTAGATTTAATTAAAGCCGGCAAATAAACTGTTCTGAATTACAAATTGCTGTTTTGAAATTTATGTTCAGATGTTTAAGACGAAGAAATTTCCTTAAAGGGTGAAAGCTCGCGTTGGCTAGGATTTATATATTGTAGTATGTTTATATTTCACTTTAATTACCATTGATGTTTAATACTGGGGTTGATATCTAATAGAAATTATTGTCAAGGCCAAGATTTTATTATTTTTGTTCTTTGATGTTATCACATCAGAATATTTTTACTCTGTTAGTAAAAATACTACATATCTCCGGTGCACAAGTGAGTCTTTATAATTTTTGTACAATAAACAAGTTATTCCTTTTTGTTTTATGGGTGTAACTATTATAACAATAAAAAGTTAATGCTTAAAATATGTGTCAAACCGACACCTATATAACATAAGTGTAAGTATTTGTTAATATGCATATATATGTATGTGTATGTATATATATATATATATATATTGGTATGTATTATATTTCATATTTCATTTCATTTTTCATATTTCATTTTATTTTTATACATATGTGTTAATGTAATTTTCTTTGTATGTTTACCGTTATCCCGCAACTTTATTATCTATACCATCCATAAGGTTGCCTGGAAGAAATTGCTACCTTAGCAATAAGGCTGCCTGTTTGTATACTATGTTTCCGGTATCTTCTTCCTAGTATTTCCTTGTGTGAAATAAAGTATATTCATTTATTCAAGTTTTATCGGTTATCAATGTATAATGAGCTTATTTTCTAAAAACAATGCGAACTTGGCCTTTTAGGGAAATAATTTTGTAGCCAATAGAATGTGAACCTTTATTTATTTTAAAATAGTATTTAAGTAACTAAAAAAAAGAATTTAAAAAGATTTTTATTGTTATGTTGATAATTGTTATCAATAATGATGTTTTATTATAAACATGGCGTATGTCTATACTGCCCGATGTTTAAAAATTTCGCCGTTTTAAATTATCACTACATAGTATAAAACAAAGTCATTCCTGTCTTTCTGTACCTATGTATACTTACATCTTTAAAACTACGCAACGGATCTTGATGCGGTTTTTTACTACATAGAGTGATTCAAGAGGAAGGTTTATATAGATAATACATTGCACCCGTGCGAAGATGGGGCGAGTCGCTAGTATGATATACATATAAGTGAATGTGACAGATGATATAGAATGTATGATACGGAAAGAGTTAGCAGTCTATAGAATTGCAATTTAATTATGAATAAGTGAGGAACTCAAATTACACCAATTGAAGTAATTTGAGAGCCTCAGTTTCGGTGTGCTAGTGTCATATCTACTTGGTATTTAAATCATTGGTTGATAACGTGTTTATATAAGAAAAGTTTTATTAATAATGGTAATGTATTCGCAATATAGCATTTAATAAAATGAGCAGTTATTGTGAGAGAGATAAAACATAAAGCTGGAACAACTGTGCTTTTTAATGAATAAAGAAAAAAATAGTAAGAATATTTAAAATCTCAAAATACAAATTTCTGTTGCAAAAGACGTATTTTAATATTATTTATATACGTATTATAATTAAAAATTCTATTCAAATTTTTCTCCTTTCCAAGTACCCCAACGTGTTTTCACTTAAAAAAATATTTAAAATAATCAGTTCGAAATCACATTTTTAAATTTCTTATCGTGATTTTGATCTAGCTGTAGATATGCTTGGGTTTTGAGTAGATTTATTATAAAGAACGTACAAAACGACCTTCGCGCGACGCATTTACGCGCTAACACGATCCCGCCTTGTCTTTTAGTTTTTATTCATATTAGATTCTAATTGCCTGAGTTTTGTGCTGTGCTTATTAAAAATACAAACAGAATCGCATGCCAGATATGCCCATTATTATTCGTCGCTTCTTCGAATATGACCCAATTCCGAGTGGCGTGGCCGAGTTAATATTCAAATAGATAAATCAAACGTCTACTCTTGCCGACTTTTTGCGGGGCGAAGATTGATGGCGAAATTTTTGCAAAATTCTACGAGATGGCAATGTTACGTTGTTACGTGACAGCACGTATTATAATACAAATATTATCGTCGAGTAGAGAGTGCGAGATAGGGCGCGGAGACCGAATATATTACTGCCGAAAACTGGCATCTCACGTTCGTGCCTTTGTAGCGGTGGAACTGGGCGTTAATAAGAGGTCAAACCATAAATTGTCTAGC